TGAATCCCCCCAGTATAACTAGGAACTGTATGAAGAAGTACAGTGGTGCCTTGCTTTATGATTGCCCCGCCTTACGACAAAACTGCATTACGGCGATCTTTTTGCAATCGCAAAATGATGGTCTGAATGGGTTTTTTTCGCTTTGCGATGATCAGTTCCCAGCTTCGGGAACGGATTATTTGCAAAACCACGATTTTCCTCCAGCTGATCGGTGGTTTCAAAATGTCCACCGGGTAAATAAAATGGCTCCTCGCTGTTTTCTGGTACGGATTCCTCACTGCGCAGGCACCAAAAATGGCTGCCCTATGGAGGATCTTCGCTGGACGGTGAGTTTCCAGCCCATTGGAACGCATTGTAGGGGTTTCAATGCGTTTCAATGGGCTTTTTAGTTTCGCATTATGACATTTTCATTCTGCAGTGATTTCGCTGGAACGAATTAACGTCATAATGTGAGGCACCACTGCATTTCTTTTTATCTGTCTTTAGTTTCCCATCTTCTTCATGGATTGCTGCCTTGTCGTGGCGAAGGGGCTTTTCGCATTACGTTTTCATTCTACAGTGATTTCACTGGAACGAATTAACGTCATAATGCGAGGCACCACTGTATTTCTTTTTATCTCTCTTAGTTTCCCATCACTCTGCTCCCATGGATGACTACAGGCTCTAGGATTCTGGGGAAGGGAGAAATGTTTTTTCCCCATCAACTTTTGTCCATATTGTGCACAAAGAGATGTGTTTGTATGTGTTTTTCGGACTGACCCCCCCCTCCCCAGCAGCACTCTCCAGTACAGTATTGGACTGCCTCTCCCAGAATTTTCCAAGAATTATGGAAGTTGTCGTCCAAAAACACAAATCTACACCCCTTCACCGACTCAAGCTGAAAGTGCTGCACTTAGGAAATTTTACAACAAAGTTGTGAAAACAAAAGCAGACACTCTGTGTAAAACCAGGAAATAAAGCTATGGGTTTTTTACTGGGTGTCTGATTTTAGGCAGAGAGGCGTGCCTGGAGAAATATGGGGTTACAACTCAAGAAACAGAAAATAATGCCTGCGTGCTCTGGTCCATGGGGTCACAAAGAGTCGGACACAACTAAACGACTAAACAACAACAACATTATTGACCTGCTTCTGTCATAGCTCCCTTTAAGTAGCCCTGCCCTGGAAAATGAGTTTCCCTCAGCTTGTGGAAGGGACAGGAGGAGAGGTGTGTAACCTCAGAGCTGGGTTGAAATGTAACTGCCCCTTCCTCTTTGTGTAGACTGCGCTACAAGTGAGGTGCCTTCATAGGGCTAAATAGAGGTTCCCAGCTGCTTCTCAGAGAATGAGGATGTGGCTTCCTGGCACAGCAAATGCTTTGCATGCAGAAGGCCCCGTGTTCTGTCTGTGCCATCTTTAGTTGTGGTCGAGAGAGACTCCTGCCAGAAATCTGGGTAGAGCTGCTGCTAGTCTAACTTGACAGTCCTGGGCTACACAGAGCAGTGCTGTGCCTTTATCAAGAGCAGCACTCCTGGCTCAAGTCAAACAGATGTGTTCTTCCCCCCCTCCTCCAACTTTCATCCTTATCGAAGATTACACACTGTCAGCATTTCCTGCTATGTTTCTGTTCTTTCTGTTGTTGCTGGCAGAGCCCAATGATGCCTTTGCATTAGAGGGCTGGTGGAAATTGTCTGTTCCATGGGGCTGGAAGTGAAAATCAAATTTTTGGGCATGAAAATATGGTGCTCTAAGAGTGTTGCCTTTGCCTGCAGAAATGCGTGCCACTGTGCATATGTCATTCTTTGCAAGGCCAGAGGATACAGTGGTGCCTTGCTTGACAACGATAATGTGTTCCGTTAAAATCGCTGTTAAGCGAAATCATCGTCATGTGAAATTAAAAAAACCATTGCAATGCATTGAAAACCGTTCAATGCGTTCCAGTGGGCGAAATACCTCATAGTGCAGCGAAGATCCTCCATAGGGTGGCCATTTTCTGGTGCCTGTATAGCAAGGAATCCGTCCTTAACACAGCGGGGAGTCATTTTGCACAGTGGGGAGCCATTTTGAAACCGGACAATCAGCTGTTTTTAGATCGTCGTAATGCGAAGAATCGGTTCCCGAAGCAGGGAACCGATTGTCGTGAAGCAAATTTTCCCCATAGGAACATCATTTTGCAATCGCAAAAGCGATCACAAAAACTTCATTGTAAAGCGGATTCGTCGTTTAATCAGGCACCACTGTATTCTGGTTTTTGAAGGAGCAGGTTGCTGGGGACTGCACCTAGGAAAAAGAACTGGGTAGGATACAAAGGTGCAGTTGCATTCTTTGTGGGGTGAAGAGCTCAGGAAAATCCAAAGGACTGGTGCTAACCTGCAGAATCCTCCTGGTCTTTATGTGACCAGAAGGGCGATGGCAAACATGCTGGTGAAGCGGGTAATTTATCTGCAGCAGGATCTAGGTCAAGGAAGACCAGACAGGGAACAGCTTTTTGTCCCTTTCCTCCTGTCATATTTATATGAAATTCCCATAGTGAGCTCAAGATGGCAGGCATGTCTCTTGTCATCCTCACTTTATTCTCATAGCCATGTGAGGCAGGTCAGGCTGAGAAGGCAGTGACTGTCTAAAGATCAGACAGTGTGTTCTGTGGCTCAGTGGGAACTTGAACATAGATCTCCCTGAGGAGGAGACAGCCTGTGGTTGATCTGGAGAGCAGGCACCTCGTAGTGTGGTCTCTAAGTGATCGTCCTCCAAACTAAACTTCTTCCCATCCCCATGATTATTTTGGCAGCAAGAGGATTTCTTGTTTTATAGGATTCCAGTGCTGAGGTGGGTACTAATTGGTATAGGGGGAGGGGTTCCCAACATTGGGGCCTCAGATGTTCTTGGTGTGCAACTCCCAGAAGCCTTCACCACTGACTGTGCAGACCAGGATTTCTGGGAGTTGCAGTCCAAGAATGTCTGGGGACCCAAGGTTGTGTACTTGTGAGGGAGGAAACACACTGATCCTGGTTACCCTCCTTCCCGTTTCCTTCATCTGCCTGTCTGTACTGGCAGAGGAGAGAAAATAGCAGCAGTGGAAACTGGTACTGCTACTTGGCGAACCGTAGAAACCTTGAATTTTTTAAATGCTGGAATACAAGGCTGCTGTTCAGACCGAGTACGAAACCACAAGTGTTGCCTTTGTTGCTGTCACTGAACACACTTCCCCAAAGCTGAGAAATGATAACTATGTAGTAAGTGGGAATGGAGCCAGCAGAGTGGTGAAAGGGCATTGAGGAGTCAGGCTCGGGTCAGAAAGTCCTGTGAGAACATAAAATACCTAACCTGTATTAGAGCAATTCATTTTGGGCGTCCTGCTACGGATCCATGAGGAATCTCCTAATAAGGCTCAGCTGTAATGGGAATTTCTGTTTTCTGACTCAAACTGTGGCAAGTCTAAACATTATTATTCTTTTATTCAGAGTACACAGAGGCATTTCTCTTGTAAACAAAGAAAAATCTTCGAATCTCCCCATCTTTCCCCCCCCTTCAG